ATATTCCCTTTCAAAGCTCCATTCCTGCATGCTTCTCTTCTCCGGGACAAAGCAAACCATTACTGTGGAATGCTGCTGGTGTGAGTGTGTATGAGTGAGAGAGGTGGGGGGAAAGGGGGCCTGCTGCTGTCTGAACTGACAAGACAACATGCCCCCCCAAAACACACAGCGTTTTTCCTGCTACCGTCTCCAAAGGCTGGTTTAACTCCCAGCTCTCTACATTTGCAAGTGTAGCCAAGCCTTAGTCTACATGGGGTGCTCTGAAGCTGGATCATGCAGCTTCGGGAGTGGTGAGGCTTATTGCTGTCTCCGTCTCAGCAGGCCTAGCTCAGCTGCATGAGATGAGATGAGGCAAGGCAGGGCAGCCTTCTTCCTATTCACCACTGCTTCCTGTGGTAGGTTTTCTATTTTAAACTCCCCCACCCCACCCCTCTCTGTCAGTGTAAGGGCATGCTCCTTCACACCTTGGTAAATTGTTCCAATGGTTAAATACCCTTGCCTTTAAAAATGTACCCCTTATTTCCACTCTGAATTTGTCTAGCCTCAACTTCCTGATTGTGGATCATGTTAAACCTTTCTCTGCATTATTAGGAGTTTCAAGCACTTGGCCAGTTATAGGAGGTGCTCAGCAACCTTTGGGATAAAAGGTCCTGTAGTACTGTTCCCTAAAGGAACAGTTGGTTAAAGTATCATATCTATATTATTTAAATAATATAGAGAGGAGGATAGCAGGGAAAGATTCTAATTAACATTTATTGGGCTCCCCAAAACTACTAATTGTTCACCCAACCTGGAAGTCATTACAATGAGTATGCAACAAAAGTATAAAAGAAATATAGCACAAACTAGTGGAAATGTGCTGTTAATTAAAATTATATTGTTAATGCTATTTCACACACACACACCATGCTTATATCACCAGTGCTGAATTAATGCCTCTCATGGGCTCTAACAATTTACTATTTCATCCTTATCTCTGGGTATGGTGTTACTAGTTACCTTCACCTTACTTCATTTTCAGTGCCCCATTCTGAATCCCCAGATTTCTCAGTGACACAATGCCTCTTCAAAGCAGAGATTGCTTTGTCTGTGGCCTGGTCTACACTCTCAACATGCTACCAAAAAAACCAGGTTGTCATTAACATCACTTTTACTTACCTCATGCAAGAGGCTGGGAGTAATATTCATTTCAAAAGTATTGGACAGCATTTCCCCCAAATCAATTACCGGTAAATGGCAGAAGTCATTTTAGATTTTCCAGATAAATAGAATTTTTGCATCAGCCTGGGTCACAACAGACACAATTTTTTTTTTTATTAACTCTCTTTGTAGAGAGAGTATACGTAACATCTCCCTAAGCGGAGTTCCACTAATATGTAAACAAACAGTTCCCCTTGGTCTGGGCTTCTGTCGTTCTTAACTGTATGTGCAAATCCACTTATATCACATGGTCTGGCACTGGTGTTATTATTCATGACACTTATTTTCATTTATCCAATATCAATAGTCCAATTTGAGTAGCTCTGAAAGTACAAGCTTCTCTCCAGCAAAGCCCTAACCTGCCCAGAAGGCTGTTGATCCAGTGGAATGTACTGGCTCAGCAGAGCAAAGGCTGATCTACTTTAATTCCCTCTCTGTGGAGTTTTTTCTTTCCCACCAGAGGGCATATAATGTGAGCAGACAACTATCTTCCAATAGTTGGTGTGGGTGTGAGTGGGTTAGGTTGTTGTTTGTTTGTTTGGTTTTGAATCAGGAAATTGAACTAACAGGAGTTCGAGGATTTTAATACCGAAGTCAGGTCAAAAGGGCTGTAAACTGATCGTACAACTGTGTGGATAAATTATTTCTCTTATCACAAAGACAAGATGCTTTGGTATATTTTTGGCCTGATTTTCTACAGTACTGGATGCTCAGCACTTTGGTAATTTAGTTATGTATTTAACCTGTAAGAGGGTATTCTACTGATATCTTGTTTCGTTTATTTACTTGTCTAAATAAGAATTTGGAAGTCTAACTTTAGGCTCCTGCTTCTGAAAATGTTGACCATAAGATGTTTAACTTAACAGTATCTCTTTAATACTTCTAAAGCTACATGTATGTACGCTGGCAGTTTGGGATGAATAAATGTGTTTAAAGTTAATCAGTGAACCTGTGTGTGTGTGTGTGTAAATGAGACTGTATTTGAGAGAGTGGAAAGCGGTTAAACAAACTGAGTGCGTCTAGGGTATCTATGTAAGGCAGCCAAGATATGGTGTGTGTGTTTGTGTGTGCGTATAATATATATATATATATATATATATATATATATATATATATATATATAAAATAAAGGAAGCAAAGTTTGGGCACCAGAGGAGGAAAAGAAAGAAAGAAGGAAAGCAAAAGGGAAAACTGGGCAAGATAAAAGGTATGGGAGAGGGGAGAAAATTGGTTCCTCAGCCCATGTAATCTTATTGCTGTCTTATTGCTTGCAACATTCAACGTGATCAGCATTTCAGATGCTCCATGTTTGGACCTCCAACTTAAATCATTACTGTTCAGAATAGGTTTGGAAAAATAATTAAAATTACAATATTATCAATCCAGAGATAATATAATAAATAAATCTACTATTTGTTCTAAACTAGGGTGTGTATAAAGTGCTGCTGTGTCCGGCTGCACACTTTAAGCATTCACGGATGGTACAGGCAGTGACGTGAGCCATGTGTGTGTACCTGAGATATGAGAGGGTTGCGTTTTTAAAGGGCTTTGTGATTGGGACCAAAAGGTCCAGGGGCGGCTCTAGCTTTTTGGCCGCCCCAAGCACGGCAGGCAGGCCGGCATGCGGGAGGTCCCCGGTCCCGCGGATTCGGCGTACCCTGCCTTACGGGACCGGCGGACCTCCCGCCGAAGGCCGCCCTCGCAGGAACCGGTGTAACATCATCATTAGTCTCCCAGCGAGTCTGAAAGGTACCATCCGTTCATTCCCTGAAGTAGGGCGGTTCCTGTCCTCTTCCAGAGAGCCTTCTGATTGGTCAGACCACAACTCAGAGCCAGGGTTACCGCCCACGGCAAGGCCCCAGACCGGAAGTGGAGCAGCAGAGTGGACTACGTTTCCCAGAATGCCTCGGGGCGGGAGCAAGCGGAAGGCTGAGTTGAGACCCGCTGCTGGGAGACATTACAAGAGGGCCTGATCCCTGGGCAAAGGTAGGTGCCCATGTAGTGTGTGTGACAAACCGCGCGCGCTCTCAATTTGCTACGGGGGGCTGCGCGGTGGGGGGAAGAGGAGCAGGACCAGCTGCCACTGCCTTGGCTACCGTGTTTGCTCTTAACAGCTGGGGAAAAGGGCGACTATTTATTGTGGGCCTTTTCAACTGCCAGGTTGTGCCTAGTGCCGGGGGCGAGCTCCGAGGGGCAGTGGGCGAGCTCCGAGGGGCAGTGAGGGGGGGGGCGCGTTTCGGGGCGGGGCGAGCTCCGAGGGGCAGTGGGGGGGCGCGTTTCGGGGCGGTGGGCAGAGGACAGGTGGGAGGTCACAGGCAGTTGCGGTGGGGAGGGGGCAATGGGCAGTGTTGGGTTATGGAAGGGGGTCGGGCGGATGGGGAGGGGTGGTGGGAATGAGGGGCTGAGATGTAGGGGGAGTGTTGGACCCTTTTCCCCAGGCAGTCTCTCCCGAGCGGGGCTGCTCCTGCCGTGGGTGGCGGCACTGGAGCAAGCGGAGCAGTCGCCCATTCCGCTCCCCCTGTCTCGGGTCAGTTGGATGCAGGCGCCTCGGGGAGAGGAAGCTGCTGCTGCTGCACGGTTCCAGCTGACACATCTCGAGCCCGGCTGTGGCTGAGGAGAAGGAGGGGGGCATGGCGGAGACCGGCTCGGTGCATGAGACCAGGTTTGAGGCGGCCGTGAAGGTGATTCAGAGCTTGCCCAAAAATGGTAAGTGAGCGGGGCTAGAAGGCTTGTGTCAGTGCAAGTATAGGAAAGTGCTACCGGTAGCACATTCCTACGAGGAGCAGTATCCTTCACTACACCGGCCGGAGGAGAGGAAACCTGCGGACCCGGACGCTCGCCTGCTCTTTTGCCGTCTGGAGCGCAGGTCGATTACAGCCTTGCCACTTTCCCAGGAGAGCAATCACTGGCTGTTCCCTCTCCCCGCCAGGACAAGATAAACCTGACCCCCTTCACTGCAGCTCTGCCAGGGCAGCCACATCCTCCCCACTGCCCCCTCTAGCGCTCTAAACGAGGGTACCTGGCAGGCAGCCGGAATGCAAGGGAGTCCCCAGCAGGGCTAGGGAATTACTGACAGATGATGAGGGGACTGTCTGAGTGACACCAGCCATTAAACATGGTGACAGAGTTGTCCCTTACACTGGCCTTCTAGGCCCAAAAGCTTATTCATAACTTATTTGTTCAGCCACTTAAAGACATGGCATCATCTACAATTTTCTGATATTTGCAATTAGTGATTCAATAAATACTGTACTGTAAGGGTTTACAGGGGCCCAGCAGATCAAGTTTTAAAATTTGCTTTTAATATTTTTTCCCGATCAGTTCAAAATTTGTTTAATCATTCCTGATGCCATGGAACAAATTTCTTTGTCCCTCCAGAGCATGTTAAGCCTGCATTTTGTTTGTGTAGGAGGTGGTTTGTTGATGTAAACAAAGTAGCTTTTACTATCCTACTCATTCCCATTCCACCTTTGTTGCAAAAGTAGGAGAAAGTACTTGCCTTCTTGAAATCCCTAATATGATTCTATGACTTTGTTAGTTTGAAGAGTAAAGAAAATTATTAAATGTGCTTGAAGAATTTCAAAAATTGAGGACAAGACTTTTTCCCCCCCCCCTAGAGTTTTTCTTTGTTGCTATTATCAGATAGACACTGATTATCTTACATTAACAGAGAAGCCAAAAACTCACCACATACTGGTTTAAACTATAATTGATTTTGTGAGGGCAAAAATTAAAGGATAATTATCAGCTTTAAAAAAAAAAAAAAAAAAAAAGTGAATAGATTTCAACTTAAAAGTTGTTTCAGGAGACATGCCTGAGCGTGAATTCCCTCTGCCAAATAGTCAGATTTTCCTGTCTGTACAGGTGTTTTCTGTTTTTGAGAAAACAGTGACTGTACAGAAAGTGTTATCAAATGCCTAAAGTAAACAAACTGAAGAAATAGTAAAACATTTTGATCTCAGATCTGTCAGTTATGTTATTTGTTCTAAGTAAAAATAGTTTTTCAAAATCCAGACAAATGTGGTGAAGTTGATTGTGTCCCTTTAAAGTGGTCAAGGTGACTTATTTAGTAGACCCTCTGTCTGAACGTGGAGCTTAAAGTCCAATGTCATTGATCATGCAGCCCCTTAAACTAGGTCTCAAATTTTCCCTCGATCAGTAAATATTCACTCTGGGCCTAATCCAAAAATGTATTAACCACACCATTTCCACTGACTCCAGGGGGAATTGTGCCTTTGAGGATCTGACCCTTTATCATACTGTGAGTTATAAGAAGTGCAGGTTAATTTCCCACAGAAATATTAACAATGCGTAAAAGAGACTAAATGGCTTTAATGTCACTTTCCACTGATTTTAAAATATGTTTTCACTAGGTTCATTCCAGCCAACGAATGAAATGATGCTCAAGTTCTATAGCTTTTATAAGCAAGCAACCCAAGGACCCTGTAACAGTCCAAGACCTGGATTCTGGGATCCTATTGGTAGATATAAATGGTAATTGTGTATGAGAGATTGTTTGGTTATTTGTACTGAAACTTTGTCTAAGAGCATCTTCTCTCTTTTTAAAGACTTCAGTTAACAAAACCTGTGTGTGTGTGTGTGTGTGTGTGTGTGTGTTTCAAAAAGTCCCTTCCCTTGATAATGAAATTGGTATGTATATTGTGGATTTTCCCCGTGTGTTCCAGCCTTTACATTTAAATGATGTATCTCAGAAATAGGGGAGAGGACATTCCGTTTGCTTCTAAAATTGAGGAGGATGCTGCTTACTGCAGAGGTACTACAATGAGATCTGTCCATTTCCTCCTCTCCCCAGAATTTAGGGGAGCTCAAATCAGTTTGCAGCCGTAGGGGGGCAGTGCTTTTAGGGCTGTGGCAACAAGTTCCTTCCCTCTGTTTGCCTGTCCTGAGATGGTTCCATTACAGAACAGACAATCTGGGCTCTTACTACAAGTTGGATGGAGAATTTAATAGTAGGAAAGACAGGATCAAATGAACTAAGTACAGGACTGAGAGTAAGGGAATCTTGTGTTCTAATCCCAGTTCTGACATAGATTCCTCTGTGGCTTTAGTCAGACCACTCTGTTTGCAGTACCTTACAGTTTTCCAGTGTGTAAAATAAAGATAATACTACTTGCCTAGTTCACAGGCAATCATGATGATTAATGTTGGTAAAGCGCTTTACAAATCCTAAAGTTAATCAATGTGCACACCAAGCTCTTCAGCATTTGGGGAGAGGGAAACTATGGTCTCCAAACCTACGTTGATACAATCATCCCTTGAAAGGCTTTTTTAAAAAACATTGTCAACTATATATGGACCCCAGCTCAAACATCTGAGGTCCACTTCTACAGCAAGAGGCCTAAAAATCAACCACTCCCTGGCTTGCTTTTTATTTAAAGTTGGTTAGTTAAAATTGAAATGTCTCTGAATAATTTTTGCTGACCCTCCCTGTGTACAGTGACGTGTATGCACCCCCCCCGCCCTCTCCCTCCCCCCAAAATGCTAAGGCCAGCTCTGCGTACGATGGGATTTCTCTTCCTCCTGTATCTCAGGGATCCTTGGAGGTAGGAGACTCTTCCCTGTCCTCGGCTGTAATAATTGGATCTACAAATTTACTCTAATTATGAGCTTAAGTGCATAAAATGTCACTAACATATAACAACTGTTGACAGGGAAAAGTTATGAAAGGGAGCTAGCCAGCCAGATTGATTTAGTCCAAGCAACAAGGCATACTGATATAACTGAAGGACTGTGTTAAGATCATGCTGGATAAATAAGAAAAATGTAGAACCAGAAATCAGTGAACCAAAACTGGTGTGTCAAAAATTAGGCCTCTGGTGGGGGACAAAATAATTTTCACCCATCACTCCTATTTTGGGTCCTTAAGGAAAGAGACTTTAGGTAAAAAAATTGGCTACTGGAATGAGCTTCACCATCCTCACAGCCACTCCCATCATCTCCTGTGACTCTGGGCCTCCATTATCCTGATCTTGAGAGAGATCCTGATCAGGCCAGAGAGGGGGACCCAGATGATATCACCACTGGCTCCCGCTGGGATGAACACCACCTAGGATAAAATGAGATTGGACTTTAACTACAACAGTTCCAATCCATCTCAACTAACTTCTTTTCTTTTCCCCCAAAGGACAGTTACTACCATCTCTGATCTACTATCTAAGACTGTCAAACAAGGGTGTTGTTTTTTTTTTTTTTTTTTTTCCTTCTAAAAACTTTCTCCAGCTAAAGGGAAAAAGAAAAATGGATGTTGTTAAAATAAAAGCCTTATTCAATACGTTACATTTCAAATATTTTTACCGTTTTTCCTTCTCTTCTTTATCTTTCTTTTAAATTTTTATTAATTTTTAATAGTGTGTTTGCCACAGTACTAAGCAGACTAAAGTCTCTGTAAACCAATCTTATTCAGCACTGTTTAACATTAAACAGTAACTAAATTAAACTAATTAAGTTAGCCCATCTATTCCATTTACATTTAATAAAGCACTCCGCAAACCTTTTCCCATCCCCCCAGGGAAGGCTTGCAAGGAAATTGACATTGGAATCTCAAAGTTTCCTGGTACACCTGTGTTTTTTATGAATGGATACAATATGGCCCCAAACCCATAATGTATATTGTGTCAGAGATAAGTAAGCGATTTTATTTTTAGGCTGCTACTTTCCTGTTGGAATAAGGCTTAATAGAAAAGATTAAATAGACCTGTACATAATTCTGGTTGTATTTATACATCAGCAGCAATATGTATATGGCTAATATAAAAATACCTTTTTGAAGGTCCCATATCTTTTAAAAACTGATCTTGTCCAATGCCAAGGAGTTGGTCAGTGTTAGAATCTGGAATAGAACTTGTCTCCTGACCCACAGTCCAGTCCCCTATCCACTGGATCATGCTGTCTCTCTGTAGATGCCCAATTACCTGATTATGCTCCCAAATCAGCAAGTTAATTTTTTTTTTTTTACACACAAAATTGCAGACACAATAAGAAAGACTTTACTTAACGCTGGACTGAAAAATATAGGCAGACCATGGGTGTTCTGAAGATGTCCGTGGTTTTCATTCCTAGGGATGCTTGGAGTGCTTTGGGGGATATGCCCAAAGAAGAAGCCATGATAGCGTATGTTGAAGAAATGAAAAAGGTAAGAGTAATTCAAATCTATCTATCTTCTAAAGTATCTTTATTTCTAGAACATTAGAAAAATAAGGAAAATATTTCACTAACTGCTAGCAAAGCTCCGGATCGGATTTCATTCCTGTTGTGAGTTTGCTGAATTAACTTAACCCTAAACTGTCTGATGGTGATAGTTTTGACATTTAAGAGCTCTAGGGAACCCATTGACATCATGTTTTAAGTGACAGGCCCAAATACAATGCAGCTCTGGCAAGTGAGCTGTAGTGAAACACTGGAACTGAAACTGCAGGAGATTCAAACAAACTAGGGAAGTAGGGAGAGAGATCCCAAAGGAAAAAAGCTGAATTTGCAGTAAATTTTGCATCTGAATTCTAGTTTGAGATCTGGTGGGACCCTTGCATGGAAGAGTCTTAAAGTACCGTATATACTCGTTCATAAACTGAATGTTTTTGGTAAAAAAGTGACTCATCAAAGAGCGGGGGTTGGCTTATAAATGGGTCTACACCAAAATTTGATGGTTTTAAACTCTATGGAATCACTGAATTGAATATCTAATACATTGTCGTTTTGTTTCCTTGGAGTGTCTGCAGGCATAGAGCCCCTCAGCTCTCAGTGGCCGCAGTTCGTCGTTCCCAGCCAATGTGCCACTTCCCGTAGCTCCCATTGGCTGGGAATGGCAAACCGCGGCCACTGGGAGCTGAGGGCCTCTGTGCCTGTGAACGCTCCAGGTAAACAAAACGTCCCGACCTGCTGGGTCCTGACCCACCAGCGGCTTACCCTGATGGGCCAGGAGCCAAAGTTTGCCAACCCCTGAAATATAGGGTTGGCTTATGAAAGAGTCATACAGTTTTTGCTATTTTTACCTAACTATCTTGGGGGTTCAGCTTATAAACGAACGGGCTAATGAACGAGTTAATTAACAAAATGGGCCGAACCAAAACTCTGGATCTGAACATCTTTGAACTTTGGAGGCCATTGAGTTAGAACCTAGATTTGAAACTGCCTCTATTTATAATGTATTTATAGTGTATAGGAGTCTGATTTAGACCCAAACAAATGTTTCTGGTCTAGTGTTGGGAATAGAGATTTTAAATTTTTTTTATAACTGTTCCTAGTTATCTTAATGAGCATAATATAAATTCTTAAAGTAGCTGGACAAATTCAGAGTTAAGACTGCCACTCTGTCCTTAACTCATCCTGTCTTTTGACTGCAGCCCTTTTAGGAGGTCTCTGAAACAGTGAACGATCTTACATACTTTGAGCTGCAGTATGGACAAATATGTAATTTAACGTAACTATAGCCAGGTTAGTATTAAGGACAGAGCATGCAGTTTTCATTCAGACTATGCTAGCTTTTTTTCTAAGTCAGGCTATTAACCTCCTTTAAAGCGTTTTTATAACATTTTATTTCTGTTCTACCAACCACCATGTTATTCTTGCTCTTTAATTACTACTTTTTTTTTTTTTTTTTTTTTTTTATGAAAGGATAGTGGGCCAAATTCTGTCGTCTTCGCTCAAGCAAAACTCTCATTGATTTTAATGGGAGTTTTAATTGAGTGAGTAATGCAGAATTTGGCCATTCATTACTTCATAATCTTAACTGTCAAAAGACCCACTGAAATAACTAATAGAAGTAGCCTGTTCTCTTCAAAATAACTATCAACGAACAGTACTGTAAATAGTAAAATTAAATGAAAGTACTGCCCTCTGAAGGTTATCATAAGATAAACTGATAGCAAACAATCTCTTAGAGTGAAATCCCCTCTATCCACATAAAGCCCAAGAATTCTGGCCAAGCATGCTGCTGGGGGCGGGGGTTTGTGGGGCTATAGCCACCTCAAAATTTGCCAGTCTCCATTTCTTTGGGAAGCTGATTCATGGGTGGCAGGGTGCTGGGGGAGCTCACCTGCTGCTAGAGGTGGCTGTGGCCGAGTGGGAGTCTGCTGAACTGGGGTGGGGGGACAAGGAGCCTATCAGTGCTGGTTCCTTTGGGTCAGGAATGGGAGCTGTGGCTGCTGCTGAACAAGCATTCATGCTCCTGGGTGCTCGGCTTAGAGACAGCACGCTGACACACTCACTCTGGCACACTCACAGTTTCACACACCCTCTCCCTATGTGTCTCTCACCGTCTCCCACTCTCCCGCCTCCTCATGCTCTCACTTGTAATATTATTATTGTTGTTTGTAATCTCTTGGTACTTCCTACTGAAATATATATTCTCTGTAATTTTATTCTTTTCAAAGTTAAATTTTATTTCTTGAGTAGTAATTTCTAAAATGCCTAACCCTGTCCTGGCTGGAGCAATGATCATTATTACTTTTATTGCCATATTGTGCTTTGTCATTCATTATTTAAAGTGGTACAGTCCAATAATAGCATCCTTCTAGAATGTAAATTTAGCTTGTACTCACCTTAGCAATGCCAGTTTAAAAAAGAAAAAAATGATCTAAACACATAACTTTAGACACTGTATAGTAACTTAAAATTTGTACCAAAATAAATGCGGTTACAAGTCTGACACTAATAGTAATGATGGAGTTAAATGTTAGTCACTTACATGATTGTGATTGGCAAACATAAATGCCAAAATAAGTAGAAAAATAAATTCCCTTCTTAATAAAAGAGAAATTTTAATCATGTAAGTGAAAATTAAAATAGTTTTTAGTGGAGTGAAAAACAGTTGACTAAACTAGAGGCGATAATGGCAGTAATACAGTGTGTCTGTTAGAGAAAGGAATCAGATTTTATTTATTTTTATTTAGCTCTACTAAAGATAGACAAGTTTGATACTTTTTACACTTTCTGATATCTGTGTTAAGGCTCCAAAACTGATACCTCAGGGCTTACGATTGGGAATATTTTACTGTATTATTTCCTGATTGTTCTAAATTTATATATAAACTTAAAATATGGCTTTAATTGGTGTTTGTGTATATTTTTTTTCTTTCTTTATATAGGAATTAGATACGGTGCTCTTGTCAGCTAATTTTTAAGTTATTATCTACAAAAACCCTAGACTTTTCAGGTGCCTTACTAGCCTCTGGAATCACAGTTAAAGTAGACATGAGCAGCAGTTATAATGGGGGTAGAGGAAGTGAGGAGGGATGTTGGGATGGGAGGGGAAAGGGCGGGGGGGGGGGTCTTGCGGGGGAAGGGGAGCGGGCCTTGAGGGAGGGGTGGGGACCTATGGCAGAGCGGGGGTGGAGTGTGAGTGGGGGCCACAGCAGAAGAGGCAGGACAGGGAGTTAGCCTCCCCCAGGGGAAGCTTCATCGCCACCCATGCAATAAACTAAACACCCATCCCTCTTCCTGCCCAATGCCTCCTCCAGTTGCTGCTAAGGATGGAAGACAGAGCCGAAGGAGTGTTGCCAGGCATCCTTTTCGTCTGGGCGATCCAGTCGAAAACTGGGACCCTGGTGGCTCTGGTCAGCATCACTGACTGGGCCGTTAAAAGTCCGGTCGATGGTGAAGCAGGGGTAAGGCGTGGCTCCCAGAAATGGCTGGCATGTCCCTGCAGTCCCCAGGTGCAGGGGTGGCCAAGAACGCTCCGCACACTGCCCCTGCCCTGAGCGCTGGCTGTACAGCTCCCATTGGCCGGGAACTGCAACCAATGAGAACTGCGGGCGAGGGCAGCGCATGGAGCCTCCCTGGCTTCCCCTGCACCTAGGGGCCGCAGGGACATGCCGGCCGCTTCCGAGAGCCCCCTGAGATAAGTGCTACCCAGAGCCCACACCACCTTCTGCACCCCAGCCCTGAGTCCCCTCTCTCACCCAAACTATCTCCTAGAACCTGCCCCCCCCCCCCCCCCACACTCCAAAACCCTCAGCCCGGGGCCCCCTTTGCACTCCAAACCCCTCATCCCCGGCCTCACTTCAGAGCCCACAGCCCTGGCTGGAGCCCTCCCACACCCCAACACCCTGCCCCAGCCTGGTGAAAATGAGTGAGTGAGGGTGGGGAAGAGTGAGTGACAGAGGGAGAAGGGAGGGAGTGAGCAGGGGCGGGGCCTCAGGGGTGGGGCCTTGGGACAGGGCAAGGGTGTTTGATTTTCTGCAATCAGAAAGTTAGCAACCCTAAGTCAAAGGTATCCCAGTAATACCTCCTACAGTACCTGTGCTCATTTAACCCTCTCTAGCACTGAGGCCACCTGCTCCAGAATGACTGCAGTGTGAATTGTTGTATTATGGCTCTGTCTCTCCAAATCTTCCAAATATCCAACTTTGCTGTGTGCAAAAGGGTATTTTAAAAATAACAGTACATTCTCCAATTTAAAGTAATTAGCTATTAGTATTGTTTAACCAGTAATTTTTTCCAGAAGTTTGCATTTGTTGGTGACGGTTGTTGTTAGTTTGTTTATTTATTGGCTTAGTTTTGTTTCCTATTGACTTTCTGTGAATAAATGTTGCACCAGTGAGCTGCCATAGCTGAAGTTTAAAATGGATCTATCTTATATATTTTTATTCTCCCTTTTGAGGATAACCTGATAAAACACACATGTATGTGTGCCCACAAGTCGTATAGGGCAGCCCACCTCACCCCCCCACTCCCACCCACCAGGAAGAGCCTTTGATTCTGGCTCTGTGCAGAAAGAGTATGGAGTGGCTGGGCAGGTGAAGTTCACCCACCTTACCCAAACACAAGATTAGTGATCGGGTTTACTTTGTAGCTTCCCTACTGCCAAGGCTGAAATAAGACTGAGACAAGAGCCACAGTCCTTCCACCCCAATAGTGCTCACCTGTATACATACATTTTCAAAAGGACTTTCACGACACAACTCCTATTCAAATTTATTGTGGCTAAAGCCCAGTATGATTCTGAGAACTGTCCAGATTATGTGGGTGGTTTTTGCGAGGTGTGTGGAGGAGCAGCAGTGACATTTATATTTAAGCTTGATGCAATTTTTTCAGTTGAGTTGAAAGCACAGAATGTAGATGTAAATGCACTGCAAACCAAGGTAGGCTGTGACAAAGTTTTAATTTTCTACAGCTGTATAAAAGAAAAGGTGGTAAAAGGTATCTGATCTCTCTTGCTAATTTCCAGCAGTGTATCTGAGCAGTTTACATGTTTCCCCCTTCAGAATATAGAATAATTTGCTCTGTTTATGCTCAAAATGGATTGGAAACTTGCTGAAGCTACTCTTTAATGGGAGTGTTGCTTTTTTGATAACTTGTGATTGGTTTGCAAAACTAGCTTTGATTGCTTTTGTTGCCACCTGCCAGTCAGCCTGGAGTTGTGCATGTCAAGGGTTTGCCATGGCTGCTGTTTCCTGCTGATCTGTGTGGGGCTTTTCCTTGTAGGTGGTTTGCTGTAGCTTCTTTTGCCACTACTTGCTACCTTGCCTGGTGCCTTGACTGAGGAGGGCTTACCATAGCTACTGCTGCTGTTTTACAGGAAGAGGGTTTGCTGCCACTACTGCCTGCATCTTTTCCTGGAATTATTGCTGTGATGGGTTGGATCACAGAAACCCCCTTGGGAGCTGCCAATTGATGTGCCAAGACTACTTCTGCCCATGCTTTCCCTGCCAGCTCGGGACCCCAGCTCCCTGTCTTGTTGAGCCAGACACGCCAGTCTGCTCCAACACAGACCCAGGGTCTGAATTACTTGCCCCAAAGCTGCAGACTTAACTGAAAGCAACTTACAGAAGTGTTCCTGTCTTTAACACTCAGATGTCCAACACCCAATGGGGTCCAAATCCCAAATAAATCTGTTTTACCCTGTATAAAGGTTATACAGGGTAAACTCATAAATTGTTCACCTTCTATAACACTGATAGAGAGATATGCACAGCTGTTTGCCCCCCCCGGTATTAATACATACTCTGGGTTAATTAATAAGTAAAAAGTGATTTTATTAAATACAGAAAGTAGGATTTAAGTGGTTCCAAGTAGTAACAGACAGAACAAAGTGAATTACCAAGCAAAATAAAATAAAACACTCAAATCTAAGCCTAATACAGTAATACAACTGAGTACAGATAAAATCTCACCCTGAAAGATGTTTCAATAAGTCTTTTTCACACACTGGATGCCTTCCTAGTCTGGGCACAATCCTTTTCACTGATACAGCCCTTGTTCCAGCTCAGGCGGTAGCTAGGGGATTCCTCAGGATGGCCCTCCTTTGTTCTGTTACACCCACTTATATATCTTTTGCATAAGGTGGGAATCCTTTGTCCCTCTGGGTTTCCACCCCCCCCCCCTTCTCAATGGAAAAGCACCAGGTTAAAGATGGATTTCAGTTCAGGTGACATGATCACATGTCACTGTAAGACTTCATTACCCACTTGCCAGCACACACGTATACAGGAAGACTTACAGTTAAAACACACCCATCTGCAGTCAATTGTCTTGGTTAATGGGAGTCAAGATTCCAAACCACCATTAATGGCCCACACTTTGCATAATTACAATAGGCCCTGAGAGTTGTATCTGAAACTAGAAATATGAAATATAAGAGTGATACATTTATACAAATAGGATGATCACACTCAGTAGATTATAAACTTTGTAATGATATCTTACAAGAGACCTTTTGCATGAAGCATATTCCAGTTACATTAGCATATTTTCATAAAATCCTATAGAGTGCAACGTCACAATTGCTTAAAAGGGAATCAGCAAAAGCCACCCAAATGGATTAGAAAATTGAAAATTAGTGATAAGATTTGGCAGGCTTATTACTTTTAGTTGCCAGTTTCAGCATCTTCTCTGCCATCTCTTTTCTGTCTAATGTCTGTTTGACTGCACACCTTGCTGTGATATGAATGCCTGCTCTGGTGCTAGGGTGTGTTGGATTAGTAAACTGAAAACCTGATCCGGCTCCTACTGACTTCAAAGGAGCAGGGTTGGACCCTAATTTTCTGTCTTGATCATGTGATTTTTGGACTGTTCTTACTTTGATTCTGTCCCTCTGATTTGGGGGCTTTTTGCTATGGACAGTGGCTTTACTTTTTTCTTTATATATGCAGTTGGTAAATTAGAAGGACACAATGGGCACCTCATAACATGGTGCTTGCACCCAGTCAAAAGAGGATGGGATGTGTCAAATGAAAAGAACATTCTGTTTGGAAGGAGCTCCCTCAGTTTCATTTTCTCCAAAGAAAAACTGATTAAAAAGCACATTGCACATGATCACACCCACCTGTCTCAAACTTCTGCCTGATTTAGTTTGAAATTGCTGAGATAATGAATGTTGGAATTTGTAATTGATATGCTGATGGAGTCCCTTAACTACAATAAACAGTGCTTTAAAAATCCTGAAGTTGTTTTGCTTTTGGTTGAGATTATGGTCTATTATTTGGTGAATGGGGTTGCTATATAATGTTAAAATGCAGAGTTGCACAGGGTGTTATAAAATTTATTTTGTTACATGTTCTTGCTATATGAGTATTGCAGTGAACATCAGGAAATTTGGCACCAAGTAAAATAAAATGAATCATTAATATATTGTTTCACAAGACATTTTGTATTTTGGACTCGTACAGATTCTTGAGAGTATGCCAATGACGGAGAAAGTTGAAGAATTACTACAAGTGATAGGCCCATTCTATGAAATAGTAGAGGATAAAAAGAACAGAGGATCTGGCCTAACATCAGGTTTGAATAAATACCTCCTCCTTATTTTGTACTGCAAATAATAATAAAAAATTCAGACTCTCTTAACTAACTTACTTTTCATTCTCAGTTTAATTTCTATAAATAGTTATTTAAAGCTAAATGTTGCATCTTTTTATTTCATTCCTTTACCATATGCCAGTCCGACTGGAGAAAGTTTCTAAATATTTAGAAGGTAGGAATGATAAATTCTGTGTAAATCCATCTGTTTCATTGTTTTATGTGCTGTAATTCCCTGCAACACTTGAGACTTCTGGGTTTGTCACCATTAATTTTTATTTAAAAATAAAAACACTACAGGAAGGTCCAATAGCATGTTTGGAATTTAACCAAATGTTTTTGGTGCTGGAGAGGAAAACTTCACTGCAGAGCCTCTGTTTGCTGTGAGAGAATTAAAAAAAATCCAGTTTCTGCCTCTCTATTTATAAGAACAGCCTTTTAAATTCTGTGCAGGCAAGCTGGGGGCTGTAGTTGGTAGTCTATTTATTTATTTATTCTTTCATCCAGCTTGAGTAACTTTTTTTGCTCTCCTGCAAATTTTTAAATCATTATTTATACCTCAGTACAAGTATGCATGGCATTCCACAGACAAATAATAAAGGACCTGTAATCTCCTCCCCTGTATTTTCAGTCTGCATTGCCCAATGCTCGAGTTCAAGGGAGAAGGGACTAGTCTAACAGTCTGTGAATATCTGACAGGTGGCAAACCTAGTAATTTCAGTTTTATGTAAAAAGGCACTGTGGAAACTATTATTTTGCAACATTGTTGTAGTTCGAAGTTGATTCTATGAAAATGTTTTGATAATTAGACTGTTGAAACATTACAGGTAAGGTTGTCTGTCTCCATCTTGGTTTAAGAGTTTAAAACCTGGCTAAAGTTTCAAGATAAAGTTGGATATATGTAGCCTATGTTTGGAATTTTTTTTTTTAAAATTGATCTGTTCTATAGTTTAATTTTTATATACATTTTTAAAATAACTTGGCAATCTGGTTTTAAGTGCTTTTTGCTTTTTTACAACTCAAAAATGGCTTTAATTGCCAGGGTTTAAGCCAATCAGTTATATGTTCATAGTTTTTTCATATTTTAGAGAAAAAAATAATGGCTGAATTTTTAAATGGCCACTTTAAAAGCAGGGTCACTTTTTTCAACTAAAACTGCATATGCTTCAGGTCTGGTATTTAATGAGCTTGCCTGGCAGCTGGATTGACAGGCAAGATTGTAACGGAATATCTGCAGATTCAGGTCAGTGATCTGCATAATAAGGATTGACTCACTTGGAATCTATGGTACAGAGTGCCAAAAGCCACTTTTTAAAAAGTAGCTAAATCTAAACTAACAGAGAATCATAGACACTAAAGACAAAAAAGACCAATTAGATCACCTGGACCAAAATACAATGGATCCTAAATTTGTTACTCCAACAAGTATATTTTGTTAACATCAGAAAACGTATCTTCATTTAAATAACATTATTGATGCAAACTAACCATATCAAGAAAATTCAAAATTGAAGTTCAAGTTTCAGCCTTATCTGGCTCTATCAATATTGTAACAGTTGTGGTACATAGCATGCACAAATCTGAAGCTCTGTAACATGGAATTACTTTAGTATAGGTTTAGATTCAGAATCTTAATAGTGAATTTATTTTCAATTTTGTCACAAAGTGATTACGTTGGGGATGTGAAGAAATCCTTCCCTCACTCACTCCCCAGTCTACTGAAGAAATTAATATTTTAGTAATAAACTATAAATACCAATTAGTACTTGCAATACTATTCTTTTAATAATCTGAGTCCAGTGTCTTAGCCTTTGGACCACTCTGCCTTCTTTGAGTCCCGTCGTCCCCCCCACTCCATTTTTCCTCCATATTAATTTTTGTACTGTTCCACTTTGAGGAAAACTCAGGAAGCTTGATAACAGCAAAGGTTTATTTCCCTCACTTTTTCACCAGGCTCACATTCTTTCTGTCTTTCCATCTCCTTCCACTTCTCCCATGCATCCTGGGAATTGTAGTTCCTAGACTCAAGGTTATAGGACCCACCTAGGAACAAAACTTACAAACACTATCTGGGGTAGCTATGTGCACCTGGGTAGCTACAACACACAGTCCCCTTTAAAATAATAATTGTAAAACTTTTAAGTCACTTCCAAACCATCACTTAAATCCAGTAACTAAGTCTTCCAATCTTTTCGGCAGTCTCCTTTGTCTAACACTTCTATACCCAGAGAGGCAGGAATGAGACTAAGTGAGGGAGCAATTCCTCCTAGTATAGATTGTCCGTTGCTGTCAGTGTCATTGATGTTCTCTGGTCCAAGGTGGAAATCGTGATTCTCTTCTTCAGCAGCTAGCTGATGAGCTGTGGATAATCTTGAAATATTCCATTTCTTTCCATCTATGAATACAGCAGAATCTCCTCAGATTTCTGTTATCTGCAGATGACAGGAATATCTAGAGCACCATTTTTTGACTCTGCATGGGAGTGTCACATGAACAAAATTTTCAGTTTAAAACCTGTGAGGTTTAGCACCTTTCTTATGATCTCTATACTGTCTGTATTTCTCCTTTTTATTCTTAACACATTCATGAATAGTTTCACCTGAAGGTTTGGTTGAAAAAGGAGACCGAATAAGCATTTGACAGATAGTAAGTCACGTATTGGCCTTACATCCTCTAACAGTTTGAAGGGTGATACTCTTCACCCTTGTAGTGGTCCTGTAAGCAAACAGTGTTACACGTAAAGCTTTTTTTCCATGGTCTCATTTGCAAACTGGTAAATTATAGACTTTCTTTCACCAGTCTATTCATTCTCTCAACTACACCATTGACTCTTGGCTGGTATTAATAAAAAACCCTATTTTGTGCTTGAGATTATTGCTACTGAAGTAGTGTTGCATTTCAGCAGAGGTTAATTGCATTCTGTTGTCAATTATCAATTCCTTGGGAAATCCTTCTCGGCCAAAGACTGATCACATGAAGTTAACCACTATTTCAGCAGTAACCATTCCAGTGAATGTAACTTCCAGCTGCTTTGAATGATGGTCTACCATTATTATGGGAAACCTTTGCATAACAGGGTAATCGTCAGATGGTCCCATTATGTTGAGCCAGTTTCTCCCATGGACAGTTGGGCTAGTCAACTGGTATGAGAGGGATGCTGGAGGTTTCTGTAACTTATCACTACTAGCACAAGCCATACAATTCTTGATTATTTCCTCAAGCTGCTCATCCATCCCTGGCCACCAGGAGTCATGTTGCAGTTGTCTTTTGGTTGTACTCATTCCCAGGTTTCCTTCATGTGCCAGGAAAATCAATCATTCTTTCAGAAGTGTAGGCACAAAAGATGGTAAAGTCTCAATCTATTAATTTATAAGGGGCAGCTCATGTGATATGTTTCTACATGGTTGTAAGTGTTCTGATGTCATCCTCCTGTAAGGCCATCCATGGACTGTGGAAGTCTTTAGATCATGAAGTGCCTTGTCTTCTCTTATGGCTGTTGCTCACTCTGAGACTGTGATCATTCCTTGAGATTTGTGCAATGATAATCCATTCTTCTTTCTCTCTTGCATCCTCATAAGGTGTGGCTCAAGACCATACTCACAAGCATCTGTTGTGACAATCGTTTGCTTCCCAGAATCAAAGGGTCTTAGAGTTGGCCTGGTTGAAATTGCATGTTTGATCTTGTTAAAGCTGTTCTTGCACACTTCATCCCATTCAAACATAGCATCCTTTTTTTAGGAAATGATGCAAAGGAACTACTTTCATAGCAAATTGCTGTATAGACTTTGAGTACACAATCCAAGACAGATCAAAGTTTGTCCTTATTGTTGGGCTCTGTTGTATCACGGCTTTCGTGGGGTCTGGTTTTGGTTGTATGCCATTCTGAGAGATTGTATGTCCGAGTTATGTCACTGAGTTGGTATGGAATTGACTTTTCTTCTTGCTGATGGTAAATCCGTGTCATTGAAGTTTTTCTATAACCTTGTTTAGGATGACATCTTATTTGGATTCATCTTTACCATACATTACAATATCATCTTGAAAGTAATGCCCCTTGTCTCTTCAGAGATCCAATGCATCATTCTCTGGAATACAGATGCTGCAGAGGCTAACCCAAATGGCATCTTTTTTGAATTGGAACAGACCTTCTGGAGTGATGAAAGATGTGTACTTGTGGGATTCTTCCATTAAGGGGATCTGGTGGTAAGCTAAGACTAAATCAAGGGTCATAAAGACTCTTGCCTCCTTTAAGTTGAGCAGCATTTCACCAAGGTTGGGCAGAGGATGACAATCCACAACAGTGCTGAAGTTTAGATCTATCAAATCCACAAATATGGAGATAGCACCGTTATGCTTCCTCATGAGAATGAAGAGAAACTCATTCTGATAAATCAACTAGTTCAACGATGTCTGCTTTACATAGTTTTGGAATTTCCTCTGTTTGTCTCTGTGCAATTGGTATGTTTAGCACTTTATGCTACATAGGCATTGCATTGTTTGTTTTTTTAGCAGGCTCTTGTGCTTGAACTTTTTGGCAACATCTTTGGTATCGGTGAAAACTTCTGGAAAGTCAGATGATTTCTGGTTGTAGCCTATCCTTAGTTTGTAGGACAGGTTCTCTACTATTTGGATCTAATATCATCTGAAGATCCCTTTGATTCCATCCTAAAATAGAAACTCCCTTTTGGGGTACATAGATTTTTCCCTTGTGCATTATGGCCTTTGGACTCAAGGATAGTTGTAAAATAGCCATTGATGTGGATGGGAGATCCACCATACCCTCTGGGGTATGTGTCTGGAGGATGCAGTTCGAGTTGGGAGCTGGCGCAAAGCACATGGTAGAGTTGGTTGGTAATTACAGTGTAAGGCAAACCAGAATCCACTAACGTCATCATTACATGGCCATCAACTCAGTGTGGAGTGGTGTAATGATCTCCTGTCATATTCAAAACACCCTTGGGATTCAGTTTACCATCATCTTC